GATTTAGATAAGCATTTCTTTAAAGACAGCCAGCGTATACACACATTTCAAATTGTTCTTATTTCAGTATATGCAGCTGTTGGAACTGTTCATTTTTCCTTTCTTTAGAACTCCTTTCAAGATAATATAAATATCAACAATGTGTTCATCCACATTTAATGGTAAAGACTGCCCTTTTTCAGCTGCAAATTTAAGAGGACAGGTGCACCTCATAATCGCAAATCTGAATTACCTTTTAAGATGCCCGCAAAACCACCATTACTGGTGCATTACGGCCCAAGTGCTAAGCACTTACAGAGGGACTGCCTTCTTTTAAAATTTTAATAATTAGCTGTGCTATATTAAAGCCTGTTGATGTCCTAAAGTGGGGACGAAAGTAAACTGCACTCAATTTCTGAAGACTCTGATAAAAAGAAACAACAATTGGATACAGTTATGAATTGGTAATTGCTTCCATCCGTTAGAGAGCAGAATGGAGCTGAATTCAATACCAAAGATTTATTTTCAAACCCATTTCTTTAACATTGCACCTGTTTGGTCCTTGCACTTGGTATTCTTAGATTTCACGGGAAAAATTTTCTAAATAAAGCTGCAGCGTGATCCGATGCATTCTGGCTGGTTGTGCTTCAGAAAAAGGCAGAGAACAGAAATTCTGCATTAATCAATTTTTGGTCTTTTTGTTCCGAAGAAATTTAATTTTTCGTTTTTTCAAACAACTCATGTTTCCTTGTGTTTTAAGTACACACATGTTTGAGAACATTTCCCCCACCATGCGAAATCGAAAATCGCGACGACAGATGGTACACATCGCAATTTATTACATTCCTTGAAGAAATAATGGACACAAAGTCAAAGGTGTACGATTTTTGAAACGTGCACGAGTATTTCAACTTTCTCACAGACATAACAAAGACAATAATTTCTAAAACTATTTCCAAAGGCACGTGTACTCACACTCAGTACAGATGAACGAAATAGCGAAAGAAAGGAAATAAAATAACGGCCAACGGCCTTGAGCTTGCTTTGTGCTCATTGGCTAATATATGTAGATGACACGAGTGGGTCGACGCCCATTGGAGAACGACGTTTCTGGTACGTATGCTGTCACTCAAAGCAGAATTCCATCTGATTCGCAAGGTTTTATTTTAATATAATCTAGAGAAAAATTTCAGTTGCTTCAAACAGTTCAAATCTTTTTTTTTTTTTTTTTTTTTTTTCCGTTCATATAACGAAGCATAAGCAAAGTGCCATAAAAATCAGGAGAAATATTAAGAATAAGTCAGGACTCGAACGAGAGCGGTCGAAAATCAGGAGAGTTGTCAACTCTGCACTTATATAGCTGATATTCTTCATCAAAACTGTATAATTTTAATTAATCATAAAACTAATACTGGTGGGACAGTAGGTTCTAATGGCATAGCTACGAAACTTTGAAATGTAAAAAGACCTTTACAAGAAATCTGGGAAGCAATGATATGATGTAGCAATGACCCTTCAAAGCTCCCAAACAACTTAAATTCACTTTAAAATGCATGGTTCAAGTTATTAAACTATTTGTAATACAATTCTGATGTTGAACTTTATACTTTTTGGCTAATTTTATTTGTTATTTTCTTACGCTTTTATTCTGAGAAAATCCCAAATAGGGAAGAAAAGCATTTATTGATCAAAGTTCTTTTGAATATGATGAAAACTAATAATTAATGTACATAATATTTAACTAAATACAGTTAGTAATGTACCATATAATAAATATAAAGATGAAATGAGTAAAACATCAGTTGAACCTTCACATAAAATTCTACACTACATTAAGACAACTCATATAAAATGAAATATAATAAGAAAAGGGTCAATAACATGTAATAAGGAAAACAATGCAAGTCAAATGAAATAAAATTTAAACAAGAAAAATTTTTCTGAAAATAACGGAACAGAATTTGCATAATTTAAGTTTCATTCATTCAATAAATTTTATTTGCTGCTGGACAACATTTTCCTTAGTAAAAGCTAAAAATAAAAAAACTGGAGATTGGGCAATCTACTGGGAGACCGGGAGATACGATGAAAAATGACGAGTATCACAGTAAAATTAGGAGAGTTAGCAGCTATGTAATAGAAAAAATACAACAGATTTTTATTCAAACAAAATTTCAAAAGGAAGAATATATACTAAGCTGTAGCATTATATTAGCCCTGAAATGGCAAGAAAATTGAGAAACTCATAGTCTTTCTAAAAGGCATGAAGCTGAAGAAGTGAGTGATCATGGCAAAAATCAGTTCAATCCTACTTCCAAATCCTGAGTACAACAAAAGAATGATTGGAAATAATTGCCAAGATCTAATGTTAGCAAGCCTTCTTGTCCTGAAAATATAAATGAAAGGATCCCGAAAATATATATATATTTTTTTTAATACATACTTGCTATGGCACTTTTTAACCCCTTAATTGCCACGGAAAACGTACAAGATTCAATCTCCAGTGCCACCAATTTTTTATACAGACGTGCGTAGTTATGTGACATATTAGGGAGAAATAAGTGCAAGTTTTCCTGTCTAAAGACTGTTTACTTTCACAAACATAAAAAGAAAAAATGAAAATACGAAATTTAATGTTTACAGTAAAGTGTAATAAAAAAGACGCAAGTATAATAAAAATGATTACAAAAATTGGAGTTTTCGATCAATTTATTTTTATACCAGTAAAGTGTAATTAATATCAGGTTTCAATGTTATGCCTTGTAAAATCAGTATACCTAGAAAAACATATATTTCTTCTGAAATAGTTGGATGCCACAATTTTGTTCTTGACTTTTTTTTGCAGGATGTTGGTTCATATACTGGTCTGTAAAATGGTTAGTTTCAGGAACAATATGAAGCACAAGCAGTTTATCAAAAAATAATTCAAAGAAGAATCACCAATATCAGACATATTCATAAAAAAAAAAGGGGGGGCACCTTCTACAAACAGTAAACAAAAACAGAAGACATAGAATTAAAAAAATATGTTTTACTCAAATAGGAACACGAGCAACAACCACGCAGTCATAACTTTCACTATTTCAGAAACATCCCACTCTCCTATTCCATCCCCCTCCCTCTTTCCTAAAATAGTATCCTCCTTCGCATACTCTGCCAAGGTCATTATTATGTTACATTCCAAAGCTTTGCCAATAATTTTACTGGTAGCGCAAAGCAAATGATAGTATTTCAGAAGAGCATATATATATGCCCGAGGCAGTTAATGCATCGACTAAGCAAGGCATATATATACGCCCGCAGCAGTTAAGGGGTTAATTCATACCTTTTGTTCCCTCCACAAAAGAAAAAAAGGACCGAATATAGAAATGAAATACATTAACCATTATTAAAATATGCCCCGTAGTTGACTATATAGTATGACAGCAGTTATAGGATGGAGATATACCATCAAGACTATATGTACAACATTCAGGTCATTTTCCATACATCATACCACTTACATGAAGCGAAAGTCATCAAGAGGTTGTAAAGCTTGTACATATGATTAGTGAAATGATTTCAGAGTACCAAAATGTCAAGTTGCATTATGTAATGCTTTGAAAGATACCATATAGTTGAAGGTTATTATTTTTTTTAATGTTAATAATTTTAAAATAAGTATTTTTACAGAAAATGAAGTAAAATATTATTGATTCATAATTTACATCCAGATAAATAAATATTTGCAATTATTTCTGAAACATCCTACAAAATTAAACTAATGGTATTTTACCACATATATTTAGATATTTTAAGACATACTGACATACAACAACTACAGTTGCTAAGCCAAACTATTAAGTAGCTTAATGCATGACTGGCATACTGTTGACAGTGGCATATACCATTAGAGTTGAATTAGTAGGCAAAGAGTTAACCTAATTCTTAAGCAACAATGAAATCACAGGGGAAAACTTTTAATTACACTGTAAAGTATTGCATAGTTTTTGGAGAAGTCATTTTTCTCCACCAAAGCTCATGAAATCATTTTTCTCCATGAAAGCTCTGCATACATACTGAAACATTGGTCCAAATTATACATACATACTTGTGCTCACTTGTGTGTGTGCGTGTCTTTGCTGGAAAAAAAATAAAGCTCTTTTCTTTAAAAAAAAGGGGGGTTTTTAAAGTGGATTAGAAATGGGTATTATACAGTAATGTTATAATGAGGTAATCCAAAAGATAATGAGGTAATCCAAAAGAACAACTTTTAGCAACATCAAGAGGTCAGCTACATTCAGAAACATTAATACTTTGTGCATCGTCGAAATACAGAAGAATTGTATATTATGAATTGCTGCCACCCAATCAGACAATAAATTTGGGAAAATAATGTTTCCAAATGGAAGTTTTAAAAGTGAAAACTCAAGCAAAGGCCCCAGAAGAGACCAATCTTCAAGGTGTTGTCTTCCATCATGGCAATGCTTGGCCACACATTTTGATGAATGTCTGACAAAAATGTATTAAATGTTGCTGAAATGTTTTGTATCACCCTCATATTCACCAGACCTTCTTCCATTAAGATTTTCATCTTTTTGGAACACTTCAAAATTCCTTGAATGGCCTGGAATTCCCTTTTTCTGGAGACTATTATACAACATGTCAATAACTTCTTTATGAATAAACCAAATGAGTTTTTAAAAAAGGAATTTTTCAGCTGCCTGAAGATGGTAAAAAGTCACAGAATAAAATGGTGTTTATGAGATTCAAAGAAAGTTTTTTACATTTTTGTGCTGCTCCAATTATATTTACGATAAAAAAACTGTGAAACTTTTCACGTCACCTAAAATTAACAATATTTTTGGGTGATGTGGAATTATGATATGAATTTGTTAATTATGATATGAATTTTTTTAATTTGAAAATTTAATGTTAATTATGATATGAATTTTTTAACTATCCTTGAATTAACTGTAAACATCATCCTCAGTATTACTTCATTTAAGCAAAAACTATATTTTGCAAAAATATATACTTACTGGTTTCCCGGAATTAGGATGTATAAAATCAGCCCAATAACCAGATCTTTTTAAATGTGCACAAATAGTATTAGCAGCAGTCACAAACTGAAAAGGAAATTTTCATCTACTTAATAATGTTGTGAAGAAATATGGTTTAGGATAGTGAATATACATTCTAACTGAAATTCTAATAGCTTAACTTATGGAAAATTATCCAATGAATGAGAATTTTGAGATTTCCCTTATACTTTTCATCAAATAGCACTTACAACTGAAAATGATATCATCTATATTAAAAGTAATATCAGAATTTATGATCATATGCAGAATACCTTTTTAACAATTTAAATAAAATTTTGGCAAAAATGTACATAAAATTCTGGCATATAGGCAAAATTTTATGTATATTGTTAAAAAGGCATTATACAAAATATATGTCAAGTAAATTTATATTTTATTTTTTACATATATTCCCCCTACTCATAACAGACTATGAGTTCAATGTATTTGAATATTAACCCTTTCACGATACAGTCATCATTAAATCACTTTTTGAAGTCACTTAAAATTTCATTTTTGGTACCTAAACCTTTTACAATTTGCTTTCAAGGTATGGCCATAAACTCTTAATTTAGTGTCATTCACCGACACTAGACACCACTTCAACTTTCTTGATGTGTATTGAAATAGTCCAGCAAATGTACTGATCATGATTGAAAAATCAAAAAAAAAAAAAAATTATGATCAGGAAGACTTGTAATGTCTTAAAATATGAATCCTTATGATTTTTCTCTGTCAACATGACGATTAAGATAAATGATACCCATCCATAAGGTGCCAGTCTACTAATGACTTTATAACTTTTTATTAAAAAAAAAAGCACTGATAAGGAATACTTGGAGGTTTTATAAAACAATATATCCACCACACTAATCATTTTTCAAAACTGAACTTTATGGTAGTTATAATCTGCAAATATATGAGCTCAGTTCTTAGAAATTTTTAACAGTATATTAGAGTCTAAAAGGTCCCTAGTAAGGAATTCAGGAAGACTTCAAGAAGTATTTTTAACAGTATCATGAATCAAAAGTTTTCCTGGATATTAATATAAAAAGTAAACCAAACTGCCACTTGGTCTCAACTGTAAAACAATTTCCACTGATTTAAAGAACATTTCATAATTCCAAGACCAAATGTCTGTTTATGGTTTCAAAAAAGTGAAAAGTCAGTTACATCAATAAACCAATTTAGCTTTAAGAAATCAGTTCTAGAATTGCTCTACTAAACTCTACTCCTTTAGATTGCTTAAAGGATAAATAATTCGAATTTTTCAATAATAATTATAATTCTTATTTCTGGAGAGAATTTGATAGATATCTTTTCATAAAAGCCCAAAAACTTAATATTTAAGCTATTATTCGAGCATTTTTTATTAACAGAATCTACAACTTTATCAATCTTAATTACAGTCCATGCTTAAAGCAGTCAATCATTTCTACCAATATGAAGTCCAAGCCAATAACTTGCTAATAAATTTACAGAAAGCAGCTATCTGAGAACTAATTCTTTCAAAATTCTTTTTACCAGTTTTTTACCCATTCTGGAAATTTCTGACAGATAACAGTTCTAAATTTTGAAGATTTGCTCCTTTGAGATAAATCTACTACATTTTTGACATACAAGTGAACATCTAGATTTAATTTAAATAATTACCAATTTTAGATATGAGCAGTTCATAATGAATATTCTCTACTTATTGTGAATTGATGACTCAGTTTTTAAATCTCTGAAAGCAGAAAAAATAGACTACTGTAAATTCAATTTAAAAATTAAATTTTTCAATTATTTTAATACTGCAGATGATTATTGACAAAAAGCTGAGAGTGGATTAAAAAAATGAAGCTTCTGGTCATTATTTCTCTCCATAAAATTATTTAATATTTTTCTTTTTATAAATAAAAATATTTTTACTTAATTAATACTTTATCTGGAATGGTAGACACATGTATTTAATCACTATTAAATATAATTAATAACCCCCTTAGTAATTATACACAAAAATCATTATTCATATTTATACCCGCCATATAAGTTGATTTAGACTCTTGAGTACTTTTTGTTGTCTTAAAATATCGACTTACATGCCGGAAAATATGGTATAATAGCATTATCATCTCATTTCAATTTAAAATCAGTAACAGATCAGGGTCACTTAAACCTAATTAAATTCTATTATGCCTGAAAAAAAAACAGATAAACTTAAAATCATTTACCTAATTTAAAAGAGAACCGGTAAAAAATGTATCAGACTGAGTTCTATTTCTCAGTGAGTTCAAATAAAGAGAATGTAGACATCAAAATAATGGAAGTTGCTTTCCTATCAAATCACCTAATTATTTTTAGCAGTTGTTATTAAATCATCTTGCCTAGTTATCTATCTTAGCAATTACTGCCTAGTTATCTTTTTACCTGTTGCATCAAATGAACTAAGCATGTACACTTAACTCATTCAGACATAAAATATTTTTTTGCAACAGCTGGTACATACATTTCTGAATTGGCACGTCAAAGGAGAAAAAATTAATTCAGGAAAGAAAATTTTTGATTGCAGTAAGTAGTTCACAGAAGAAATCAAATTTAAAATTAATAAAATTAGAAATCATATTGCACATACAAAAGTTTCTAATTCTTCTCTCTCAACTTCAGCATCTTCACTCCAGGAACTCATATCATTTTCCGTTTTTTGACAGAGAGTTAAAACAGTAAGATTATCATTACTCAGATTCCTATTTGGAAACAAATCGGCAAAATCTGGAAAGAAATTCACATTTGTCATAAAATGCAACAAAAGGAGGCGAAAACCTTCTTATTTACAACACAAAAATCTTACAAATAATATGTGTAGAAACTATTTCATTATGAGCATCATTTGCTTATTTCAAGCTATGATTTAAAACTGAACAGATAAAACATTTTCTCTAGATGAATGTTATATACATTTTTAAAATGCCTAATGCAAAATTCTGGGTGAAGTTTAAGAACATGTTATCAGATTTAAATTCTCCCAAAAGATTAAATATTTTGCACTGATATTACAACTTCAAAAGAATTAAAATCCTAACAATAGAAAAAAATTTAGACTTCAAAAAAGGATTTATTTTTTCTACCTTCCTTTGTTATTGAAAATATAAGTAACATAAACTGAAAATATCTGAACAAATGTCTCAAATTTACAATATATCAAAGCACACCTATTATACGAAATAAATATACAAGTAGTTCTTGACTTATGACGAATGCCTTTCCAGAGATTTCATTATGTCGATTCGGGTTAAATCAGAGACTTCTTTTATTCTTGATATCTCTGATAATATTTCTATGAGTAACGTTTTAAATTAATATGTAATACATTAAACAATGCACACATTTATGGAGCATTTGTAAATTCATTCATATATAACTTCATTCTATATGCACTACACACAGAGTAAGAGCTAGGCTTTTCATCACCTGCTATAACTTCTGTGGCTCCTAAATTCTACCGTCCAGTGTAACTACACTGGTTGCATCCACTCTGGCACCAGCCCTGACTACATATGTTCAAACATCTTTTTATAAAATTAATAATAGACTTCCTTAAAATTACTTAATACAAACAAAAAAAAAAACAATATATAAATACTTCAAACTGAAAATAACAGATCAGTAATTGTTGCTCATTAGGATGATTCTCTGCAACCAGGAAAAAATTTGTTAATGTTCTCCATTTTGATCTTTTTTTTTTTTTTTTTTTTTTTTTTTTTTCCCCTCTCTCTCTCCATCATATATTTCATAACAAAATTTTACTGCTTCTCAGATTTGCTTTTTAACTTTGGCGAAAAGATCAGTGTTTTGATATAAACTTTCGAGCAGCTAAATTCCTTGATTTAATTTTGAAGATGTTTCAGATAATCTTTTTATAATCCAAAAACAATGCAAGTGTGTATATACTGGTGACAAACTTAAAGGATTTTAATCTTAGTTTGGGCCATTGTAAAATTGAGGATAATCAGTATTAAGAAACAAAAGACAGATACAAACTGAATGCTTAATTTATTTTACGGAACCAGATAATCAGAAGAAAAAAAATTATTATAATATGAAAGCTGATTATCATCATTCTGGTTAAATACTAGCTGGTAAACTACAACTATTTTTATAATACGGATAAAAAAAAAGCAAAGTATTAATAGATTACAGAATGATAATTAAATTTACATTTCCTTCTCCAATGTTATATAACAGTTCTTTCTGAGCAAAACTTAACCTTATTTACGAACAGAACAAAAAATTGCTTCAGGATGAAAGAGTATCATCGATTTAACAAATAACAAAATAGACACACTGTTTTTATTTAATATATATATGTGGGTTCTTTAGTCTCGAAATCACAACTCATATTCAAACAAAACACATTTAATGAAACATTAATACATCTACAAGATCGTTCATCTATTAATACAGCATCTATAACACCGCTGATCTATTAATACAAGATCTATATCATTTTACATCTATTAATACATCTATATGATCTTACATCTATAAAACAACATCTTACATCTCATAAAACAAAGTGGCGAGAGTTCTATCAATTTCACTCGTGCAGTCAACAGCTGAAATTTAAACAGCGTGCGAGGAAAAATATGCAGCTATGCATTTAAAATCCCACATATATATACAGATAGATGAAATAATTATTCTAGTCTGTTTTTACAAAACTAAAACATAGCAACTTCATAACATAGCAATTTATACATAATATTTTAATTCTGAATCTGCTTTTAAAAAATTATTGAAATTTTTCATGTTATTTTATGTAGCTTAAATAAATGATGGTAACAGAAACTTCATCCATGAAAAACAGCAGAAATTAATAAAATCCAAATCATGTTTTTAAGGACAACATAGAAAGCCTACATAGTTAATCAAAAGCTGTAAAAATTTAAACATAAATGAAATGCAGATGAAAAATAAACTGGTTTTGAATATCAAGAAAATTCTGAAAACAAATTGAAAATTATAGAATTATGTGGAAAATATGTTAAGAAAAATTTAATACATAATCTCCTAAGGACTAAATACATTTTCCAAAACATGGAGAGCAAACAATTAATGATTAAAATAAATGAGAATGTAATTTGAGAACAGAATCGAAAGGGAACACACTACCTATTCATCATCCATTTCAGCATCCCAAATAAACAGTATTTAAAATGAACAATGAAAGTTCCTGTAAAACACTTAACTACAAGAGAATTTCATATTTTACACGAATCAGGATTCTTTTACAGTTGTTTTAAAAGTATACATTACATAAAGTATTCAGAAAAAAGGCTTAAAATATCTTCATAATCTGATAATACTCAATTAAAATACGAACAATTATGAATTATGAAAACAAATGGACAATTATAGAATTATGTGGAAAATATGTTAAAAAAAAATTAATACTAATCTCCTAAGACTAAATACTTTTCAAATGGAGAGCAAACAATTATGATTAATATGAAATGTATTTGAGAACAGATCGAAAGGGAAACAACACTACCTATTCATCATCCATTTCAGCACCCAAATAAACAGTATTTAAAATGAACAATGAAAGTTCCTGTAAAACAATTAACTACAAGAGAATTTCATACACGAATCAGATTCTTTTACAGTTGTTTTTTAAAAGTATACATTACAATTCAGAAAAAGGCTTAAAATATCTTCATAATCTAATAATATAATGATGAATCTGATAATACTCAATTAAAATATGAACAATTATGAATGCAGTTTTTCAGAATCCTAATTTAAGCACAAAATATGCTTACAAACTACTGAATGTAACTACTATGCAAAGCAGTAAACTGAATTTCTTAAAACAAAATATATGCAAATGCTATTGATATTTTAAAAATTCTTCTCTAAAATATATTTTAAGATGTTAACAAGCTGCATTGGGGTGGTATGTATTCTGAATGTCTCAGCTTCTGCTCTGAATTAAACTGCCGCATGATTTTATATTTATATATATATAAACTGTACCAGAGATATTTTTAAAGACAATATTTTTTAATTACATAATTTTTAATTGAATTTCTTAAAACAAAATATATGCAAATGATACTGATATTTTAAAAGCTCTTCTCTAAAATAAATTAAGACGTTAACAAGCTGCAGTAGGGGATGGTATGTATTCTGAAGGTCCCACGCTATGGTTAGTTAGCTATGGTCTCAAGCTCTCTTAGCTTCTGCTCTGAAGTAAACTGCTGCATAATTTTATATTTATATATAAACTGTATCAGAGATATTTTTAAAGACATTATTTTTTTATGAAAACAAATAGATTTATCAGCACTCACTATTTTCTACAATTTGATATAAAAAATATATAAATAGCATTCTAGACATAACAGGAATAGCCTTAATATGGGCGGGATTATTTTAGATTAAACGTTCCTTATACTAATTCTATATTTTTCCACAAAATTCTGTTAAGAGTTCCCAGCACGGTTGCCACTGAAACAGGAGAATGAAATTCCCTGACTTTTCCAAGTATGTTTCAAAATTCCAGGCTAACTGCACAGTGCGCATAGGCTGTGCTGTAAATTAATTAAGGTACCATTTAAAAACACAAAAATTTGCCAATTATATATGACTTTATATATACAGGGTTATTCTAAATTCTTTTTACAAACTAAGAGGAGTGAGAGTATTCATCAAGATGAGCAATATAGGGTTGCATTCCACTCTGAGGGGCAGGAAAGAGAACCTGAACTTACAACAGTGGTTGGAGAGCGAATGAACGAATCCAAAAGTTACAGGATCAGTTTAGTGACAAACTCACAGAGAATGCACAAAATGAAATAAACTGAAAACTTGACATTCGAGTGTTAATTCCAGCTCAGACTTTGATGGCAAACACTCAAATGCACATCTTTGGTTGGCTAGGTCTCAACCTCGCAAACGACTGCAACAAGTTAACTATCTAATCAAGGACCAAATATTATCAACTGACTCCAACTTCCGCTGTATGCCAAGATTAGCATGAAAAGTTCATGCTGTGTTCCGGCAGTCAGAACTTCATATCCCACAGAAGAGCACCTCAAGTAGAATGACTGCAACACAGTAACTCCAAGAGGAAAGGATAGAAGATGGTGAAGGGGGAAAAACTGCTACCTTGATACTTGATATCAAGATAGCAGTTTTCCCCCCTAATAGATAATTCCCCCTAATAATTTAGATAATTAACTTGTTGCAATTGTTTGCAAGGTTGAGACTTTGCCAACCAAAGATCTGCATTTGAGTGTTTGCCATCAAAGTATCAGCTCGAATTAACACTCGAACGCCAAGTTTTCAATTTAATCCATTTTGTGCATTCTCTGCAAGTTTGTCACTAAACTGATTGTGCAACTTTTAGATTCATTCATTTGCTCTCTAACCACTGTTTAAGTTCAGGTTGGAATTCTAATATTCCTCTTTTCTGCCTCTCAGAGTGGAATGCAACCCTATATTCTATGGTAATTATTGCTCATCTGGACAAGTACTCTCACCCCTCTTAATTTGTAAAAATAATTTAGAATCATCCTGTATTTATATATATATAATCCCCAAAGCATTACTTTTATAACTATAATAAGAGTTGTTTTCTCCACAGGACTGAGGTTAGAATCCGCCCAATCAAGGTTTAAAAATGTCTTTTCTGTAGACATTTTGCAGGTAAAGAAAGAAAGAAATCTGTTTAATGATATTTTAAAATAAATTGAAGTATTTTATATTTATTCAACAGCACACACAAGTAAAAAATATGTGCATTAAATTTTGTAATGGTATGTCACATTACTGCTAGAATTAGTTTCACAAGTATGCCAGAGAAAACTGCCTGAAATTTGAAAGTGTTAATAACTAATGGTAAATAAATTTAGAAGGAAGAAGACACATTAACTATTTGTACTATTTATATTGATAAAAGCTTACCTTTTTTTAAAAGCACAGGACAATCATGAGCAGCACAATCGATCTTTTGAGGAGTAGAAAGTATTTCCTATAAAAAAATAAAACACAAAATAATTAATGGAACAAAAAGGCCTAAACATTGCACCATTTTGCCATACCCACTTTGTATTAAAGCCATTTGTTTAAAGCTTTGCAATAAAGTGCAAAAAATACATATCACTTTGTATTTTTTTGGGGGGGGATCATATTTCCTGTTGGCATAAGTTCACAGTTTGGTTACTTTCCTGGTGATCCTCCTTTATAAGCATTGCTAACATGACTACATTTCATTTAATGATTTTTCCCCCCCTCCTTGTCATGAATTTCATGATTTAGGATTAACCAAAAGATGAAAAAGCAGCTACCATGTTTCCTTCAAAAAAGAAATTGTCTTCATAAACAAAGATTGTTTTCAAATTGCCCCTTCAAAGTAAAATCCAACTTGAATTTGAAACAGCTATGCAGCCTTAGCTTGTATCAAGAAGAAAAAGGCATCCAACACAAATGTGATTTGTTGCATCATACAATTCTCCAGCACTGCTGTACCATTCATTTATTTACGGCATCAATAATTAGCATTACTCAGTTCTGTGAACCAAAGCTTGTTTCAAATGAATTGCATAACTGTTGACTAGAATAATTACATAAGAAAAATATAACCCATTTCCTTATTATATGATCCAAATATTGCAACAAAACTGAGGTAATTGATGAAAACTTATTTGCAAAAAGAAAAAAATAACTTGAACTGTGCTCTTACATTACATTAGGTTTTTAAAGGATTTGAGCATGAAATTAAAGAAAATTCCTTGTTGCTGTTCGCTAAAATACAGAGTGATTATAAATGAATGGTGTGGTTTTAAAAAATTAATAAGAAATTGACGTATTACCTTACCCATGTAAAATCTGCACTATAAGCAGTTTTAAAGCCTGCAGTTTTAAAGCCACATCATTCATTTATAAATGTTCTATATTGTTCCATTTCATATAGTAATGAGACAAATATATGGAGAAAGGATAAGTCAAAATGCACTAATATAGTGCTAAAAATGCATAGTTGGCTTTAACAGAAAATTACCATAAGAATAGCACAAAAATAGCACTTACTATAAAATTTTGCTTTTAAATAAAATTTTATGATACTAATTTAAGCTGAAACCTAAAAGTGAAACACTAATATCAATTATATTCAAATTTTCTATTATTATTAGCAATTAATCAGTGCTAGAACTCACTTAAATAAGAATTAAATAGCAGAACTTTCTATAGTACACTGTGATGACTTGATTATTGCTTAGGTTATCTTTTTAGGACAAAAGTAAAGAACTACAATATTATGTTTTATATTATGATTACTATGTTACATTCAGATTATCAGACATTACTACTGTACAGCTGTTATCATTTCTTTCTACTTAAAAATTGCACAGCTATATTATTGTAGGGAACATTGCTCCTTTCGACTGAGCTCCTCATAACTTAGTGGAGAAGACACAGGACTCTAAACCCGAAGGTCCCGGGTTCAAAACTTCTCAAAGGCAAGATGCCTGACAATTGGTTTTCATGCAGATTTCCTTCTTATTAATCTGTTTTATGTTCTAGCATGTTCATCAGCTGTATATAAGTAGTTCTTCATTCGGTTTGAAATAAAAAAAGTTTTGAGTTCTTGCTTGATCATTTGTACAATCCCTTAAACTACACAGCAGTATTTATGAGTGTTTTTAACTGTACTCTAAAAGCAAATTCACTTACAAAGTCATAGAAGATTTCTATGAAAAAAAGAACAAATGAAGTCAGAAAATTCCTGCAATAAAAAATGTGTTCAAAATATTCTGAAGATATGGTTTTAAAATTGGCCTCCATATAATTATAATGCATGCACAGGCCTCCATATATGCCTCCATATATTTATAATGCAATGTATCTGAAAAATTAGTTAAAACAAAAGTTCTAAAATCTAACACATGCTTATTTTCAGAAATTCAAGTTACGATTTCTATACAAAACTTCTTGCATACTCATTTCAAGGCACATGTACGTCTCTCACTTTTAAAATAGTGTAAAAATTTTAAAAAATCGCATAAACAATGCGTACAAATGAAAACTGTAGGCAAAACATTAAGAATTTTGATATTATTAAAAAATTTCATTCTTTAACATTCTTTTAAAAATTAAACATTATATGCAGGGTTCGTACACATTTCTGCACACGGAAATTAAGTACTTTTAAGGACTTTTAAGGACCATTAATGAAAAAATTAAGGACCTATGAGCAAATGGGACTGAATAAAAAAATGCCATTAATATTATCCATGCCTTAATTTCACTTTTGTAATACCATCCTAAAAATGAAACAGATCCCTAAGTAGTAGTATGCATTATTAATAAACATGAATTAATTAACATAATTATTAAAAGGTTTGAATAAAATAAACTTCATGCAATTTATCAAGTAGCATTACATTTTTTAAACTTATAATAGTTGACATATTTGAAACAAGATAAGTGACATTTACGTTTTACTAACCGTTGTTAGCTTTATGTTGATTTTTTTTTATGTCTCATTTTGTCACATACTTGGTCAGTCTAGAGGTTTAGTAAATAGCAGGTAGATTTTATGTCAAACGGCATAGGTTGAAATGGAGAAATAAGATCATAATCAGCATGATTCTTAACAAAAGACTGAATGTTGTCACCACTGCTGCTTGTCTTGAGAGAGACCTGCTGATTAGAGCAAACCTTAAAGACCTGACCTAGTCACGGTTGACAAGTGTTGAAAGTTAGTCAGGCTCTGTTTGATGCCGTTAGTGTCGTAGCTTTGTGTAGAGTTCCAGGGATTATAACCCAGTTGATATACTTTAAGGTTCCAATAAACCATGAAAGCACCAGAGGTGATAAACTGTTTTGTATTATTTTAAATCTCACTAGATGCAAAGAATAAGTTTTACTTGAATTTTTACATTTTTTTCATTTTATCTTGTGACCACAATGAGTATAAATGAAAGCAAATAACTCGCTTTAATATGTAAAGATAATTTTTAAGGGTAAGCAGTTAGTTATAAATAATTAAATTAGGTAGTTTGATAACCTTAGTCATTATGGTTTTACATGGCCACTATTAAATTTTATTTTTTAACAATATTTGTTAAAAAAAACACTATTAAAATCAAAATCTAATAACATTTCACAGTTTAAAATTCATGTAATTTATGACATTAGGATAATTACACATTAAAAACTACAAAACATTTACATCTTGTAACAACAACACTCAAAAAATATTTATCCATCATTTTAACTTGAAGCTTTCCCATTTTGGCTACTTTATATCAATTTCCTTCTCTTTAAGCACCTTTTCTTACAATTAAAGATTTGTCTTAATATGCAAACCAATGCTCTTGCTCGTTTCTGTGTGCTTTATGTCCTAACTTGCCAACCTCTCCACAATGTACCTATGAGGGTTTACTTGATCTATTAAAAGTTAAGTCCAAAACCTCCCAACAGAAGTGAAGCACATTATCGCTATGTCTGAACATATTTACAATATCAGACAAAGCTTCTTAGTTAAAAGGAACTTAGACTATAAAGGCATTTTCTGATGCTAACAAAATCAATTACAGCTCACGGTAACGTAATTAAACAAGAACAGTCTAATTCAAACTAAAAATGTGGACTAGTGGTCAAAGATTATACAATTTAATTTGGCTCAGTAACTCTATCATATGAGAAAATAGAAATGGGCAATTATAGTAAAGGCTCAAATCATAAACAATTGTGTTATTTACATAATAATAGCTGCACATATTTTTGAAGAATAATTTTCTTTATGTATTCAGTTTCTTTCTTCAAAATGTTCCCTTTTCATTTTAGAATTTTTGGATTTAATTAAGGATTTCTGTTATTCTAAAAAACTCTAAATGCATTTAGAATTTATACAAAAAGCGGCTAATTTTATTTCTTTAGTAATATGAACATTCAGAAGAAATATTAAATATATATGGTAAAGGCAGGTTACAGAGCTGATGTGGCAGAATTTTTAGAATTTAGTGACACAACAACAAAATCTAGAAAGGGCAAAACTTTTAGAATTTAGACAGGCATTGAAAGCAGAATTTAGAAAAGCACTATGCAGTCGAATTTAGGATCCACAGAGATTGCATCAAATGGGAAAATGTGTATGAAGCATAGCTCTGTGTATGATGCATTAAAACATATTAGATGGATCTTTTAAATTGTAAGTTTTCAATTTATTTATTAATAAAAACATTCCTATCTATAATTCCTGGACATGTGATAAGGTTAGAAGCGTTTTTGATATTTTCCATGCTTGTGTCTAGTGAAAAGTAGAGAAAATAAAGGGAAGCTAAACATGGTAAGATTACAGTATCAGAAGTAAAACATTCAAATATTATGTTTTCATTGTTCTTCCAGACATTCTCAAAAAAGTAAGAAATTTATTGCAAATTTTCTGTAAAATACATCTATTATGTGTTGATACCATGGAGACATTTTTCATTTTGTCACATATTTCTCGAATCTTCTAGAATTGTGGGTCTATAAATCTTGCCTTCAAATCCTTCTAAACTTTCCAAGCTGCGATGTCTAAAATCCTAAAGAAAAATTATCCCTACCAATTCTGCAACAGCAAAAAGCCAGAAATAATTTGGAAGAAAAAAAAAAAAAAAAAAGGAGGGGGAAAAGTGTAAAATTAATTTCATAGAGAAAACTGGTGCATATTCTGAAAATTTTGAATATTCTGAGACAATCATATGGCAAAACTCTTTTTTACGAAAAATTAAAAAGAAGACATTTTTAATTAATTACATAGCTAATTTTGCTTTTGCTAAAAAGCTGTTTCATAAATTGTGCTTTATAGCATTATATGTTATTTATTTTTCAGATTAAAAATATTGTATAAGTTGTCAAAATGAAACTTTATAATATGACAGCAAAAAATAATAATGTTTTATTTTAATCTTAATTTTAAAATATAATTTGAATATGTTACCATTATTTTAGTGAAATTTATCAATGTTACGATGTTTTAAA